ATGAGTTCATCCCTCCGGTCTTCATCATCTCAGTTGAGTCTGAGAATGAGTTGTGGTTCTTAGCGAGGCAGGGACAGACATGATTCTAACCACTGAATGAATCCGCCCACCTCGTATCTGCTCAAGTTGTGGATGCATCTTAAATTAAACTCCCAAATTTGAGTGGATTCGACATCTTTCCATCGAGGTTACAGGAGTTCTTCGAGCTCTTGAAGGGCCGCAGGAAGGACCAAATTGAATAGTTCTGTATACGGAGTGCAGACAACGGACATGTCTTTGTGGAATTGACATCAAGTGTTAGTACCACTTGCTCATGAGGCCATAGACCGTTCGGCGGCTGGACATGCATAGAACACCTGATGAACGGCGATGGGACTTGCAGTTAGTCCAGTTTTAACAGAAGGGAACAGAAAATTAGTCAAAGACAAAAGCGTGTCGGTGTTCTCTGAGATAAACCTGTACTCACATTTCATGTCATTAAGATCTGCCAGGTCTTGGACACTTCAAAAACTGAGTTCACACCTGCTCAGGGTATCGGTTTCGGGGATTGACATACTTGCTACCCAATATGTAAATGAACTGGACTTCGAGAATTCTGGACTTAAAACTGGTCATTGGTGGAGAATAATTAGCGAACAGCGACATCGCAGCCTGTAATTTAGAATTACAGAAATGGAAAATAAATAAATACAGGTTTCTTACTCATGGTTACTGTTGTAGTAACTTATCCAGGCACTCTTGTCTACCGATTTCCAGCAACAAATTTCAACCAAACATCTACTTCGTGCATTGGTGATAGATCGCCAGAGTCTAGAATCCCAACTGTCTATTGCAGATCCAGGCTCATCCGCATTTGTAACTTGATGAATGTCGGTGCTAGTGAATGTCATTGTTAGAGTGGTAGGTAGTCCCTAGTTTAGTGAAAATTGGATGGCTGAAAAACACGATTGCGCAGGGCCGAGGTGTACAAATGAAAGGAACACTTTCCAGTCAGATTCTCTGGAAGGAAGGAGGCGAGGGACTCGTCCAGCAGTAAATGAAAAAGCCAGGTGCGAATTACACCCGTCCCCTGCTTCCCATGAAGCGTTCAGGTTCTACTGAAGTTCTCTATTTTTGGAGCTGCCTCCATTTTCTCCATACCGTTTGTCGCCTTTCAGCATCAAATAGCCGAATACGTTTCTGGAGTTGAATCTTCTGGATGTGTCCCCAATCTAGCCAATATTCTCTCGGCAGCAGAATTGAATCTCCTGGTTTTTGTCGCCTCTTTCTTTTCAGCGCAAGGGCCGAGGCCCACGTGATTTTATTATATGGCGAAGTTCAACTGGGGACGGTTTGCTTCTCCTATGACAGATTCCACAGATTCCGAAGATTCCAAAGGTTCGAAGGTGTCATCTAATCAATAAGGTAATTATCGCTACTGAATCCACTTGACAGCCGCTAGTGGACACAAAACAAATTTGATCTGGATTTCCTGTATATCCGGAGCTCGTCCGCATGTTCCAATATGTGAAAATCTTAGGGCTAATAGGAAAATATGATGTGGAATTCTTCGTCTGAAGATTTTACTTTCATTTGGAATGACTATCTTCCTTATGTCGTAATTCACTGTTCGCACTGCTTTGATGAATGTTCCCTGCCCCGTATGATGTTCAGTCCCTATTCCAAGGGCCTGTTCCTTTAAGACAGTCACCTCCATCGCTTTAAATTCTGGTGTCATGTTAAGACTTGTCTTTGTCCCAGTTGCCATTTCCAGTCTACCAGATCTTTTATAATGTGCTCGATCCTTGTGAAATTCAAGTGAGTGATCCATTTGAGTGCTTCTTCCTTGACCGCAGTTCTCAGAGATGTGGAAGAGTTGCACTTATCTACCCGTAAGCAAATCTATCCTAGGTCCATTTGTCTACGTTACAACTTTCAATTACCTTACCGCCACAGAAGGATCTCTCTAGGTGCTCACAATAAAATTACCAATCTTTCCCTATTCGTTAGTGATCTAGATACGCCATACTGCTCACCTCGCCCGAAATTTTCACTGGACTTCTGGCAGTTCATGGATTCTTCAGACTGTAGACGTGCTGTCAGTTAAGACGACTTCCGCAATCTCATCTCCCTTGCTGCACACCGTATGCATATCTACTCAAGTTGATTAGCTCCAAGATCACGCAGCCGTTCCAGAGCTGCCATAACTATATACTCTACAGCTCTTGGGACTTCAGCCGTCTAATCACATCGAGCGATCTTCCACCCTTTCTTGTTCTGGTGTTCTAAGTAATCACAGACTGATTTCCGAGCCTCTAAGTTATGTAATTGCATCGAGAGGTTTCACGCTCTGACACGATCACTATTTTTATTGGAATACGCCATTGAAAAATCTGAAGGGAAAAAGAATCCGAATCCCGGAATGTTCATCGCGCTGTCTCTGTGCAAAAGTACATTTTAAGCACCGCTCGACTCATACAGACAAACTTCAGTGGCTGCCATCAGTTGGAATCATGATATTCTACTCCTAACAAAAGAAAGTTTCAATTGTAGATCGAATCCAATTTGGGCAAGATAGATTGGTGGTAACAGGCTCCATGCGAAAGGTCTTTTCAGGTGCTGGAGCAGTATGATTTCTTGTATGAACCAGATCCGATATCACTGTCTGGACTTGGACTTTTAGTTCCACAAAACAAGGATTTGTGGACATGAATTTTGTGGAACAGCATCGTTCTACTATTTAAGGCGGCGGAGGACTAGATACCCCAAACTATGGCCATAACCAGTCCTTGCTGACTATAGTTCGGAGCCAGCGAAGGATTGCAGGGCCAATATAATAATATAGTCAATGTTAATGGAGTCTTGGGAGAGATGTGACGTAAGCGCTTTGCCAATCATATAGTTGTCACCTTGGAGCTGAGGCGACCATGGCAAAGGAGCTTGCATGTGAGTGCAATTCAATGCTTGACCTCAAAAAACTTGAGCATAACCGACGGTAACCGCAAAATTTGTCTAGCATCTTCAAAAAGATAAAAAATCTTCCAACAAGCAGTCTTTTAATAGCAGAACTGGGTCACGGGGCCACTTGATATTTTATTATACAAGACTGAAGCTGGGATCAGTGAAGTTCTCAGATTCATTAACAGTCAGCATACATTCCCGCCTTCTATGTCAACTCTCTAATGCATGAACAACAACGCGGTAGTGTATTCCGATGGTCAAGGAATCTGGGAGCGGGAACATGCTTGATCTTGGAAATTTATAAACCATATCTGGAAAACGTATGAGCAAAGTAGAAAACTAGGAGAAGTTTAGGTAAGGCCGTAAGCTTCTCTAGCCACGGAAGATTTCATGGCATCTGATCTTCTCAAGTGTCGTCATGGTCGTAATCAGATACAGTGTAGGAGATATCGTTACCATTGTGGCTCTGATGAGAATGACCCTTAAACACAGCACGACATATTCTTCTACTGCTTGCTCCTTCCCATTAGAAGGCAGTAATGAGTTGCGAGAAATCCGGTCAATACACATTAACTGGGAAGGCCCTGATCTTCGACGTACGGGTGACCCGGTTGCCTCCACCGCATCGCAATGCAGGGGATTCAGTTCCCGTAAGAGTAGGGTTGGAGGCACGACCAAATTTTTGAAGGCATGCCCGTGTCCCATTTCAAGATCAAAAGGCGTGCCCCCAGGCATGCCCGTATCACAATATGTATATTTCCAATATTTACAAAGTATACATAAATTTAAGTATAATACATGATTATACGTATAACAAGTAACTTTAACAAAAATATAATCAATATACAATTAGTTAGAGTATACTGAACGATGCTTTATAATTTATAGAACATCACACAATATACAATGCACTATACAACTACATCACATTCTAAGTACTAGACCACTACACCAGAGAGTTTTCCACGTTTTCATTACACCAGATTTTGAGTGCTGTTTCAGATCACGTACACATTTCATTGCTACTGACCATATTTAAGACCTGGGACTGAGTTCATGAAAAGTTTCGCACCTGCATAGAAATAAAAAAACGACACATATACGGATATTCCGAAGTTACATTATGATTAATACGTATATATATACGGGCATACCCCGTATACAAAATGCAAATGAGGCATGCCCCCATGCCCTCGCCCGGGGGCATGCCTTTTTGGCCGCTCTTACGGTAAGAGCGTAACAAACGCTCCAGGCGTAAACATGCAGAAAATCCTCTAATATTTAGCATCCGATTTCAATGAATTGTGGCTAATTATGAATTTCTATAATCTCTTTCCGATTGTAAAAACTTCTTGGTGGTCTACCTTCACATGGAACACGACTGCGATTGGGACTGTTCGTCCATTGGGACCGATATTGTATAAAGTTGACCTGAATGGTTAATTAAACCACGAGTTAGAGTTTGAGCTGTTTATCTAATGATGGATTACACCCGACCGTAGTACTTGACTCGAGTCAAATCCGTACTGATATGCTGTGTATTAGTGTACGGTATCCAGATGTACCTACTGGTACTCTGGTACAAATACAAAAATTTACTACTGACAGCATAAAATTCTACGCAGACGCTTGCGCGCCGAGAACCTGGTCTGCTTCGAAGAGGTTTCTAAATTGCAAGTTCATTGCACGAAAGAACTCTATTTGCAGTTCTCCGTCGATTGGTTACAAGTGCTTAGTTATCCGGTTAAAGCAGAATCTTCTTACCAAAGTTAGACGACATGCAAGATTCTTTGTCATCTTCTAGAGCATGCGACCTATCGAAACTGTCAGTGACAGAAATGTCGTCGCGTAACTATCATTAACGACAATCATATGACGCTCTGTAAATTCGAAGATAAAATTTAACTGTCTCTCGTCAAGGACGTGAAACATGCAGATCCATCACGTCAGTCAACGCCTTGTAGGAAAAGGGGCCCGTTTCGATGGAGTCCTTGAAACGTTCTCCTGCCTCGAATTTCCAGTATAAATTCCTCCGCAAATAATCTGATGAGCAGGCTTTTGTGGACTCGAAGTCAGATATTCTTACTGACTTTCAAGCTGCTCTCTTGAGATTAGTTGAGTTCTACACTACGTTTCTCATCGAACTCGGAGCCCTCTGTTCGAATCCTTCGGAAGCAGTTGTAAACACTTAAAGCGTTGCTCACGTGCACAGAAGACTGAAGATGTCGATCAGTCGCTGTGCTCTGTTGTGTCTGAGTGCCCTTTTGGTTCTTTCGTCGACAGCAAGTGCTGCAGGTTAGTCTGATCCCCTCTGCAGCAGGTTACAGTCGTCCTCCTGTGGTTGCTGGCCTGATGTGAGTCTTCACATAATATTCAGGGCACTCAAACCAATACATGAGTTTGCTCTGTAGGTCTAAGTAGCTTTCACACAACTATACACTCCTCCGAAATGTCTACGTGAATTGGTCCGGTGTGTCCATTCTGTTTTTTAAAATTTCTGTGTAGATTTTGATCATTATCTTTATATTATTGTATCCGTATATTTTGATCCTTGTTGATACACTCTCATCCAAATATTCCCAGCATTCTTTGCCAGCACGTTAGTGGTGAGCCCATGACAATTACATCTTGCAGAGAACGGCTTTGATTATGGGTCTGGGCTGCGAGGCCCTGCAAAATGGGACGGATTCTGCGCCAACGGGACCAAGCAATCTCCGATAGATGTAGTCATGGCTGACACAGTTCTCGATAAGTCTCTCAAAGATCGCCTGGATGTTGAATATGGAAAATATACGTCCGCCGTGATCGTCAACGACAAAGCGGCTCACCATCTGGATGTAAGAGAATGACGAAGTTTATGCACTCCAAATTCTACGAGGTTTTTTCTGACATGAAGGCCTACTTTCATTTTCATAAAGCTTGCTCGTGCAAGAGTGAAGACTTCTATTTCTCATCGCCTCCCGGTTCAATTGCATCGTTCATATGTTGGTATTAAAAGCTAATTCTGTAAACAGGTGGCAGGAGATGGACCTTTCGGCAATCTCACTTTGAACGGTGTGAAGTACGATTTGGTGAAGTTTCATTTCCACTCCCCAAGTGAGCACACCATCGATGGCGTGAGGTATACTGACTGCAGTTGCTACACGTCTCGAAGTCTTATTTCTATCAATCATCCCAGAATCAATTCCTTTTGGTCGACGTGAGTCCAAAATGGTTCCATCTGATTCTGATAGAACTTCATACGTTTGGCAGCTTTGACCTCGAAATGCATCTGTTTCACAAAAGCGCAGATGGCAAGTTCGCTGTCATTGCCATATTCTTCAACGAAAGTCATGACGACGATGCTGAGAGTCCTTTCCTTAAGCAGGTAGCTATTACATGTCTGTCTGCTATTTATCATAAAACGTCTGGTAAATGTTCATCTCGAAGGGAATGTTCAATGAGTCACTTGGCATGTGCACGCTATCAAAGAACCTTAAAGGGTGGATGGACCTGCCAAGGAGCACCACTAGCTAAAAATGGCATTTGCTGAAAATTTTCAGGATATTGAGACTCTCTGTCTGACATCGCTGGCTGATGGTGCAGGTGTTTTCTTGGCTGCCGAACATCACACAACCTGATACAAATGTAACCACCATGGCACCCATCACATTCGAATCACTGCCTCTTCAGGGGTCGTATGCTCAGTATTCTGGATCTCTCACCACACCACCTTGCACCGAGGGGGTTTCTTGGGTCGTCATGCTTAACGAGGTTTGTACACCATGATGACCGTTTGTACTTTATCATTGTCATATCCGTTATACTTGGAAATTGTATTCAACAATTTAATCAATCTAAGTCCCCTCTGTATTGTAAATGAAGCTATGAAACATATGATATCTGTCATGTTATAGGCCATCCTTTTCTTGTGACTGTTTCCGTGCATGGAATTTTCCTACACGGAATCGTCCAGTATTAGCTGGCCTGTTGTTTACCAATTACTTACTTAGCAAGGACATAGAAACTGGAAAGCTTCTACATACAAGTATCTGTATATGGAAATCAAAGCTATCTTCGTATAATATTGCAAAGCTGTATCTGTTCTTGTGTAACAATTAGCTCTTTTGTATTTGGATTTTTGTGCCAAACTCACAAGAATGTTGGTATCATATGCAGACACAGAAAATGTCTTGTCCCCAGTTCGGCGCATACCAAAAGGTTTTCTCGGTAAGGACTCGGCTAGAGACTTGAATTGATTTGTAAATGGAAAGCTTAGGAGTTGGACTTTCCCGACATATGCAGAGTCAATTTAGTCCAGTTTGTTCTCAGTTTGTTCCAAAGGACTGTTCTCAGTTAAAGAGCATGAGTAGAGTTGTGCCTGTGTATGAATAGATGGTGGTGGCCAGAAATTTCTATCTAAGAGACTGCCTCATTCTTCTTCGCAGGAAGCGAACAACAGGCCCGTTCAGAAAACAAGGTGCCGGAGTGTCACTCGTTTCGAGCACGCTTAGGTGTCCCATAATTAGTAGACGCCGAGTATTTCAGGCGCCATGACGCTCTCTGCCTTTTGTACACTAGAAATTCCTGGCTCTGTTGAAACCGTTTGAGGTTTGGCCTCACCTTCAACTTCTCTTCTGAGAGGTAATGAAGTGAGCGTGTTTTAATTTGCCAACATGATTCACGTCCTGTGTGAACAAATCTGTATATTAGATGAGGGGTGTAGACATAATCGTAATATCTCCGCACGAGCTGCAATGGGATAGATAGCGAGGCACTGCCTAAGTGTGTGAAATTTTTAGTCTCCTCTTTACGAGACGAGAATTTTGTGCAATGAAATAAAAGTTGAAGGGGAATTGAGGATATGGTGTCGCGACAGATCGTGACACTCCCCTGGTTTCATACGCGAGTGTAACAACTGGTAAATCGTCTGAATGTTGATGACACTAGGCACTAGCATTATATGCCATGCAGCTGCTGCTAGATCTTCTCGTTCAAGAGTACTAAATATCCACTCAGCACATGTCGGAGAAAAAGCGAGTCTATGGATTGCTGATGAGTGCTAGAAAACTAAGGACCTTTAGTTTCCTGAAGCCTTGTTATGAACGTCAGGTGGGGGCATTCAGATTTTCGGTTAATGTAAATCAAGTCATCAAGCAATGATCTTTCCGCATTGATAATATTATAAAGTATGTTTAACCTTATTCTCGGGATGAAATACCTCCCTTCTTGAAAAAATTTTATGATGATTTGTATATTTTGTGGAACGTACAAAATAGGGTATATTACAGATTTGCAAGTACAAAAAATAACTTGTAATCACACTTCTCGATGGTAAATGCCAATCTGATGTGTTGTCCACGTTACAGTAGGTTTTCAAACCTAGAAATCAAACCCACTGAAGTAAATACTTGATAGATAGAACGTACATTTCCCTCCACATCTAATATCTATTAGCAAATATGTAATGTAAATGTTTGTACGATCTGTGCACCTTAACTTAGCATTGATGAAAATAAATTCATCCTTGCTTTTATTAGACAATCTGTCCTTTCTCTATCAATATTACAGTGTAACAAATCCTGGAGTTTATGAATACAATCCATTCTCTGCTGAAAGTTCAGGCTTATAAACTTCCAAATTTCCGAATATCTGTATCTACAAATATGTACACTTCCAAACCTTGAACGCAAACTCATTGTTTCTTCGAAGATGTAAAATTATCTCACTATATACTCTTCATTACGGTGAACACTTTTGGCATTCTAGTCGGAAAGGTGCTACCTGTATCTACCTAACTGAGGATGGAGGTAACGCCCTTCCCAGTAGACACGAAAAGCGCTCGATTAGAGGTCATATCTCCAGATGTCAGGTTGTCTGTATGGGGATCATTTTGTCTCAAAACTACAGTAGAAGGAAATTGCAAGCTAGCATATGAAGCTCCGGCTCTCTGCCTGGAACTCTGGCTGTGCATCACGGTTGGTGCCTCGACACACGTGCTGGACCTTTCGAAGACCACATTCATCATAGTTTGCACTCTGCTTAGGAGAATGCTGTACTCTCATTCTACTTTTCCTGGGCTCCAAATCCGCCGAGCGACGGCAGAGAATTTCTACTGTTACGTCTTATCAATATGTCATCGATTACTGTAACGTGTGTCGTGAACCATTAATGCAATCCAAGTCAGCGTCTAGGGGTAGCTGGGAAAAGAATTTAAGCTTGAACATTCATCCACAGCCCAGAGAAGCTGAAATACGAGCAGAAGAACTCCAGATCCTAACATCGTAATCGCCTTGATTATTTTACATTGCAATAGGCACAGATCTGTAAGTACTTCCACTGAAGTACTTACAGATAAGCAGCGAAGCAGATTCATGTTCAAGAAAACATATCGGACGTCCTTCTCAATACTGAAACAAGTGAGATGACCGACGGTAGCCTATATGAGCGTGGCGCTGACGATATCGTGAAACATCTCTTCGACGAGGGCTGAAATTCAAGTTGCTGTTTGGAATACTGCATTGGCTGCGTTTATCTCTTCACTACATCAGACATCGAGACCCCAGTATATTCACTGAAGTGACATCAACCCAAAATGCACCATGGATATCATTCCCTGAAAATAGACATAGTCAACGAACTTGCTAAACGTAATTTGTAAAAGAAGAAAAAATTCTAACCTGCGTTGTGAAATTCCAACCAGATTCGATACACGTACCTAGCAATTCTAATTGGAGTTTTCATACCAGCACCAGTTTAACGATTGCGTGACGAATCAAGTGGTATGATGGGTGGACTAATTCGACTGCAACTCTTGGCAAACTCAGAAAACCGTATTGTAGAAGATGGACTAGTTCTACAATACGTCCTTCTCAGGTTGAAGGTATTGAAGGTATTCTATTGAAATATTTCAGGTTTAAGTAATGAAAAATCAATACCATGCTAAAGGTATTCCAAAGAAAAAATTTTAGAATATTGTGACAGTGTAAATATATTACACTGGTACAATTCACTAAGTTTCTATTATTAAATTGAATTGATCCAAGTTCTATATTCTTTTGATTTATTAGATCAATTAGAATGAATTCATACTATGTACTGTTATTGAGAATTTTATCCAAAAAATAGTATTAAGGATTAACTATATTCGTGAAATTGAAAATTCAGTGGAACTAAAACACTTATGGAATGAAAATCTGTTGATTTTAAATAGAATGAAATTTTGTTGACGTTAATAGGCAGTGTAACCTGAATTTCGTATGGGATAGTTATTTAGTGATAGTGATTATATTGTGAACCTATGCCCTTTATTCATTTCAAAAGAAACTGACATTTGTACATGGTCTGAGCATCCAAATATATTTGATGATTACTCAATCGGAAACTGTAATTTCAATACCCCTAGCTGAAATATGATGCTCCTCAACGAAGTTGTGCCGTCCTCTCACGATCTGATTTGAGAACACGGATTGTCCATAAGTGGTTTCACCAATGCCATTAGTACTAGCGGTCATTGATATATCATCGAATTACCCCATCTAGAAGTCGATGGACTTAACACCAGGAGTATCTGAAATCTGATTTCCCTTACATTACGCACAAATTGTACCAGACTCTGAGACTACGATTAATGTCGAAGACAAACCGTCTATCATTCAGACATCCCGTCCTGTCTTGAAGTGAGGCTACTACACGTAGAACGGGTGAGTTCCGATAAATCCATAGAAAACTCCATCTGGAGCATGGTCAACTTCGAGACTAAATCGATGTTGGTGTTCAAGATAAGTGCCTAATCATGATCACGAGCTGAGATTTATTTTGAAGAAACAAAGCTCGGCTGTTCATCAGTTTTCATTCTGTAGCACAATGAGCATCTCTCAATGTTAGCTGTTGTAAGTCTTACAGTTGAAATCAATACATGCCAGATCCATCCATTTTGACTAATCGGTTGTCATCTTCCATCTTTACGATTCGAGGAAACAGTCCTCGAGCCTGCAGCATCAAGAAATAGTTCGCAAGCTCTCGGTTTCAAGGATTCCTTCTGCTCACATGTTTCTAAGGCCTTCTTGTCCCTACCCGCCTGAATCGATCGGCGGCTCGGTTTGTTTGAACGCTAGATCCGGCTTTTTATGATCTCCCCGTACAGTTGACAAAATTCGCAGAACTTATTGGCAGATACGTACTGTTATGCAGGCCGTCTATCGATGGCACTGGACTGTTCAGGTTTTTTAATTCTCTGATCTCCAAATTGATTTTCAACTCCAGAAATGATCTAATATTTTCTCCGGAGCTAGACAACATTAAAGCTAATAATATGCTCTTCAAATTTGTGTGTCTCCAGGTTACACTTCTCCACATGCACCATCCTCAACGACAAGTGCTACATCCAAATCAAGCACATCGACGAGACAGCGGAAGTAATTATTCAGTCGAGGCTGATTACAATCACTTGACTAATGAACAGTCAAGAATATGCCAAGTTTCTCATGCAGTTTCAAAATCAGGGCTAGATAGATTTTTGTATCCAGTCCAACTCGTAGTGGTGACGAAGATAGATAGAGTTGATAGGTAGAGTTCGTTTTAGTTTGTAACTTGCAACCTGCTCTAAAATTCGATCGCATCTCACTCACGAACTATAGAGAACGCCTAATCAAACTAAACGTCTGGAATTCGCTCAGTCTCCTGCGATGGAGAAAAGCTTTCCTTTTTCTCTCCACAGTACGGTACTCGGAGAAAACTTTGAAAGTATTCAACTCCAGGTTGAATCCTTGGCCGATACTTTTCAGAGGTGCCCAGCTAAGCAAGAAATTTCCTTTTTCATCGTTCAACTCCACAAATTAGACTAGAATTGATTGAACAATAAAGTAAACATGAATTACTGAAAACATGTTTCAGCAGGACCGTCTCTTTGCGTTGTGATGTGTCTTGGGCAGGGATGGCTCCGCTGCTTCAACACGTTTGTACCTTTCTTTCTAGTAATTCTAATTCATAGCGTATGGTCAAAAGAAAGAACCAGGTCATTTTCAGAAACAACAGACAAACAAAACGACTGGATTAGCCTTATCAGCTGGGACTTTCGAACTCTAAGTTTCTCTGCAGCCCACAGGATGAATTCCTGGCTGAAGGAAATAAGAGGAAAAGGCGTTTTCTTTTCTCGATAGGAGAGCCGTAGTCACTTAAACACAAAAACTGAAAAAGAATTGATCAGCTCATTCCGACCCTTCAGGGCCCCCCTCCGATACACAAGCTGTAGTTATTTTCAGGGGAATATATTAACGGGGTGGCAATTTCCTATGTCCGAACTCTTCGGCCGTCTCTTGAGTTCCCAGCATCCAGATAGGAGATAAGGGACTTACTCTCGGAGCACCAGCAGAAGCAGCAGACCAATGTCTTTTTCTATCTCCAGGAGCTGGTCGTCTTTAGGACAAAACCAGAAACAAAAATGTCAGTAGACTTCTGGTGAAAAAATAGGCAGAATCCAATCTTCACGACAAAAGTCCTCGGGGCTCTTGGATTCAAATAAAATGTAATGCGCGGGTTTGATTCGAGCCCCTTGGATGCGACTTCCGAGCAAGAAATCTTTTTCCTCAAAATACAGAGCCAGGCATTGTGAAGACGAAAACTTGTCACATAATTTCTACTTCGCTTTTGACGTAGACGAGAATCAGCCGCCAATATTTCATGGCTTCCAATCAATAGGAAGGAAGAATACAAAAACCTGTAACGTAGAAGATTTCTTCACCGCTGCATTGGGAATTGAGTCGCATCAAGAGATTCAAATTATTATTTCATTGCAATCTCTTCGAACGCCTCCATACATTCTCGGGCTGGACCTCCGTCATTCTCCATGACAGCTACGACCGGCACAATGGGTCCTACTCGATAGGTTGCAGCCTGAAGACGAGAGCAGAGCTCTGGTTCACGGCTCGACGACTGTCATAATCGTTCTGCTGTGGCTGTCCCGTGGAGACGATCGCTCCCGCTCTGAAGAACAACAGCTTCCTATCCTTCGAGCAGGACTCCCAGCTCGAATGAGCCGATCTTCTGTCTCGGAATGGCATACGTTCGGCATTATCTCCGATGGCAGGTCCCACACGATTCAGGCAGGCGCAGTCGGGGATTTGTCTGGTCGAAAAACATTTGGATCAGACGGTCCCATTTGGCCGGGCCA